ATCAGATGGAACACCTACTCGAGTCATACATGCCATGAAGATGCTGTAATTAACTAATCAAGAAGCAAAATCTTCAGATACCAGACCTAAAATCTTCAGATATGGACCTTCAGATTTCAGTTCATGTCAGATTAACAAATTAACACCTCAAGCCCCATTAGCCCAACCAGCATGTAGTAACCAGTACCAGCATTGCATTTGCACATTTGTACTGCCACAAGCTTTAAATTGCTCACCAACCTTCAGACCAGCGCCATAACTGCCTCACATCTCACTGGCTACTCCACTCCAATGCAATAACCTCCTCATCTTCAAGCTCTCATCAGCTAGCAATCCATATTCTCAGCAGAGAAAAAGATCTGCATTTTCACTGTGCTTTGCAGAGAAAAAGGATGGAGGAGACGTACACCGTGAAGGTGGGTGAAGCAACTCCGGCCGCCGGCGGCAAGCCGTCGGCCGGGCCAGTCTACCGGAGCATCTACTCCAAGGATGGCCTCATGAAGCTCCCTGAAGATATCCTGTCCCCTTGGGACTTCTTCAGGTTGGTTTCTTGGCATGGTGCCGGTCAATTTGACAATGCATTATTCAATTTGCTTTCATCAAGATTGTGCTAATTTTCTAGTGAGAAGCTTGTATTTCAGTTTATAAGGTTTGAGATTTGAGAGTTATTATGTAAAAAAAAAGATAGATTTGAGAGATTATGATGATTTTTTTTTTCATATTTTTTGGCTTGTTTCTGTTCTTGAAGTGGAGCAGTCAAGCAGTACCCCAAGAACAAGATGCTGGGCCAGCGCAAAGTTTCAGATGGCAAGGTATGTCAAATCTGCATATGTGATAAGAGGCATTCAGATTCTTAGTGATTAAGATTTTTTTAAAAAAAACTTATGATTCAATGTGTTTTGATTTTATTTTGAGATGGTGCATTTTTTTTTAAAAAAAAACAATTGTTAGGCTGGTGACTATGTGTGGCTAACATATGAAGAAGTGTACCAGAAGGTCATTAAGATTGGATCAGCCATCAGAAGCTTACGTGTCAAGCCGGTGAGCAAACGATGTTGATATCTCTGTACATATATGTTGGGATTTTCTTCTGATAATGTTGATCTCTGTACATATATGTAAGTACTTACTGAAGATAATGTTGATCTGTGTGGTTAGGGTGGTCACTGTGGCATATATGGATCAAACTGTCCAGAATGGGTTATGGCTATGCAGGTGAATTCATCATTTTTTTTGGTGTGTGTAAGAATTGTTTTGAAAGAGTAACCTGATGTTGGGTTTACTTTAATTTCATTGTTTGTTCAGGCTTGCAACAGCCAAGGAATATGCTATGTTCCACTGTATGACACCCTTGGTAGGTTCTCCATGCCACAAATACCGACTCACTAACAAAAACAGCTATGTGAATGCACATAATTTAAGAATAAAACATGAAGTAAAAAAATACATCTTTATAAAAATGCTCAGATAAAACAAGCATTATCCGTGGTATCTGTTAGTGTACTTTATAATGTAGCACTGACTGGTTCAGTGCCTTCAAATAAATTGCAGGTGCAAATGCAGTTGAATTCATAATGGATCATGCTGAGATCTCTATAGCATTTGTGCAGGAAAGCAAGATACAATCAGTAAGCAAAGAAATGATCCTTGAAAAATATTCTGTTCTGCACTGTATTAACTGGCATGCCAAATGCGCCTCAAATTTAAAGCTGATGATATGATGATTGATTAATAGTTACTCAGTACCTGATACAGTAGAAGCAGAACTTGTAACCAGTTGAGAAGATCAGTTCTACAAATCATTTTATCTTACATCTAACAAGTAGTTGAATTGCAATCTTCAGGTATTATCTGTAGTCAAGAGGTGCAGAGCCCACATCAAAGGTTAGTTATCTGGACCCTGGCACGGACCTATCAGGATGCCTATATGTAGTTTTATATAATTCATTTCTTTCATTTGTGCAATTTCAGCAATAGTTAGTTTTGGAGATGTGACAAGTGAACTGAAAAGAGAAGCTGAACAGTTAGGAGTATCTTGCTTTTCTTGGGAAGAATTTTCTTCAATGGTTAGTCTGAATTCCTATTTTGCTACTTATTCCAAGCCAAAATATTTACTTCATTACAGGATCATAGGTGTTTTTACAAGTGGTAAGTTATTTTCTCAGGGAAAGCAAAACTATGAACTTCCCAAGAAACAAAAGGATGACATTTGCACAATCATGTATACAAGTGGAACAACTGGAGACCCGAAGGGTGTGATAATCACAAACAGAGCTCTAATTGCCGGTGTTATGACCACAGAACATCTTCTGAAAGTGACAGACAAAGTGGTAAGCCTCTTAAATCAAACACCTGCAGGCTGCAGTTCTCAATAACTAATGAAGAATTGATCATAGCTTGTCCATTAAATATCAATATCTTTATATATTTCCTGAGATGTTATTCTGACCATAGTTAATACTAATATTTATGCAGGTGGCTGAAGATGATTCCTACTTTTCCTATCTCCCATTAGCTCACATATTTGATCAAGTAATTGGAAACTACTGCATTTCTAAAGGAGCCTCCATTGGATTCTGGCAAGCGGTATGAGCAGCACAATGAAGGATGAATAATTCTGTAGACTATCTTCTTTGACCATCTGGCAGGTGACACAAACCACTTTCTTACCAGGACATTAGGTATCTCATGGAGGATGTGCAAATGATGAAACCAACGGTATTTTGTGGTGTCCCTCGTGTTTATGATCGTATATACACAGGTAAAATGCACAAAAAAAGTCAAATAATTGTCTCAATTGCAACCACATTTTGTGATTAGCGGTAATATGGGAATATCATGAATTGAAGGTATTAATCAGAAAATTCAGTCTGGAGGGATGATAGCCAAAAGCCTTTTCCAGTATGCATACAACTAGTAAGTACTGCTTATAAAAAACATTGAAAATACATGTATCACTTAATCCTGTCCAACTTTACAGTTCTCGTATAACTAAATCTGTCACATTGTCATCACTCATCAGCAAACTTGGAAATTTGCGGAAAGGGTTGAAACAGGATGAAGCCTCGCCATTTTTTGACAAAATAGTTTTCAGTAAAGTACGTGCAGATTTTAAGACAACTTTTCATTTTCCCCCTTAGTTAGAACATCTATGAAATAATTTTATCATTTATGTTACAGATAAAAGAAGGGCTTGGAGGCCGGATACGACTCCTTCTATCAGGAGCAGCACCTTTGCCAAGACACGTCGAAGAATTCATGCGGGTTACCAGCTGCAGTGTACTTGTACAAGGATATGGTGAGTTCCAAAATTCATGTGGAAAATGTAGACTTTAACCTGGACCCATCATAACCATATAGCAACTTAGCATGGTTAGTTAGTTGGTCCTGATTCAGTTCAGTAATTGACCTGTTATGGACTTAAAAGATGTAAAATGCTTGTATTTCTTTAATTTCCAAATTAGCATTAGTAATCTTAATCATAAACTCATAGCATAAATATACTTACTTGTACAATCCCGAGAAGCATATCACTCACCATGCTCTTGGTATGCAGGGCTAACAGAGAGTTGCTCAGGATGCTTCACATCAATCGCCAATGTTTTCTCAATGATTGGATCAGTTGGTCCTCCTGTGACGACAATCGAGGCACGGTTAGAATCCATTCCAGAAATGGGGTATGACGCACTCTCAAATGTGCCTAGGGGTGAGATCTGCTTGAGGGGTCACACCTTGTTCTCCGGGTACTACAAGCGCCCTGACCTCACCGAGGAAGTATTCTCAGATGGTTGGTTCCATACAGGTAAAGTCATTTACCCTCAGTTTCACGCCTTACTGAATGATCTGACAGTGGAGATAAATTGTCTCAAATTAGCAATCATCTTATGTATGAAGGTGATATCGGTGAGTGGCAACCAGACGGCACAATGAAGATCATCGACAGAAAGAAGAACATTTTCAAGCTGTCCCAAGGGGAGTATGTAGCAGTGGAGGTCCTGGAAAGCGCATACGTGCAGTCTCCTCTCGTTACATCAGTATGACAACTGAAACAAAAACTAAGTCAAAGTAGTAACACATTTTTTTTGAGGTTCAACTCACCAAGAATCATCTTTGAATCAGGTTTGGGTCTATGGAAACAGCTTTGAGTCCTTCCTTGTTGCTGTGGTTGTCCCTGAGAAGCAGGCCATTGAGGATTGGGCTGCACAAAACAACAAGACTGGTAACTTTGCAGAATTGTGCAACGATCCGAAGGCAAGAATGTACATACAGGATGAGCTAAACAAAACTGGCAAAAGACTAGGGGTATGCCGATAACCGTCATGGAAATTATTATTTAAGTTAACTTCTATTCATGATTAATGACAATTCATAAGACATTATTCTTGTGCCATGCAGTTGAGAGGATTTGAGATGCTAAAGGCAATTCACCTAGAGACAACGCCATTCAGCATAGAGAAGGACCTGGTGACTCCAACTTTTAAGCTCAAGAGACCCCAGCTGCTCAAATATTACAAGGTTAGAGAGAACAAACTCTATAACCATGATTTCCTGGTTTTGTTCTTATGATTTATTTTACGGATGCAAACATGTGAATGAAGTTCTTCATGACATTATTCTGGTGATCTTTATAAGACTAAGCATGTGGATAATGGTAGCACATTTTTTTAATGCAGGATTGCATTGATCAGCTGTACAAGGATGCCAAGGTGGGAAATAAACAGTGATGGTAAAACAGAACCAAGTGGTTATTGAATTTCATGATTATTCAGAAGGAATCATGTACATATCAATAATCATGATTCAAGAGTTAAAGGCCTATCTTTTTAAGATAAAGAGTTAAAGCCTATCTGTTGTGTCTCTAGATGTAAGAACTAATATACATATATATACTATTCTGTCATTCAGGGCCTGAGTTTGACACATAATATTCTGCATTCAGAAGAACACAAATATATAAATGAGTGCTGTAAAACTTCAAGGAGAAAATTCATATCCTAATCTGAACTGAAAAGCTTAATGTTTGATTTACTCTTACTGTGCAAAATCTGCATTTATGCAAAGTTGCAAACTGGCATTAGCACTATTCACCTTTGTTACATAACAGAGGTGCTGATGCGATTTTCATTAGATATAAAATGTGGATAGAATGTGAAATACTAATTCTCTGTCTTCAGAAATACATTCATTTAAGAGGAGTGCAAAAATTATTATTTTCAAACCAAGAGCTATATACAATTAGACATAGTCTGATATTCTTGACAGTTGCTTCAATGGATCAAAAATAGCAGAGTAAGATGCTGCTATATGCTTCTTCAGTATCATGTCTTCAAGTTCAAGTGTCAACAACTTCATAATGCTTTGCTTTTAACCCTACATAACAGATCACCCTCTGCCAAATCTTTTACATGTAAGAACTAAAAAGACATATATCTGATCGTATATTCTGTCAATGAAGCAGAAATAACAAAGCCTCCAAGATTTCTTGAACAATAGGACGCAGAACACAACCCATAGACCGAACACGAACCCCAAACAGTGTCCAAAACCAAAGGACATTGGATCAAAGTCACGCTCAGCTATTTCCTGTCCATCTAGCTTTGATGCATCATTTGCTGAACAATTTTCTCGAAGAGGCGGCCCGCAGAGGCCGCTATTGCCACCGTACATATATGGATGCTCCTCATAGAGGGTGTCAAGTTGCGATCCTGACGGTATTCTTCCTGTAAGATTGTTGTCAGCCAAATCCAAGAAGCTTAGATATGTCAGATTTGACAAGCTTGAAGGGATTTCTCCGGAGAGCATGTTTCTCGATAGGTCAAGCGATTCCAACGACCGAATGATCCCAATCTTTTCTGGAATTTTGCCACTCAAGCGATTCCATGATAGATTCAAGTTTAATAACGCATCAAGAGAAATCATTTCTTCTGGAATTATCCCAGTCAAGTCATTGAGTGATAAGTCAATGCTTACCATATCCAAAATTCCAACACCATAGTTGAGTTCTTGGCCCTTGGTGACCACAGACAAGCTATTTCCAGGCTCACCAACTACACTTGCATACCCTTGGTAAGGGAATGAATGAACTATTCCTTTTGTTTGTGTCATAGCAGTTAAATTCGACAAACCCCGAGGTATGGTTCCTGATATATTATTTCCTGCAAGATTCAAATGATGGAGGAGTTTGAGCTTTGTTAAGATGTTTGGAATATTACCGGAGAACATGTTATAGCTTAACTGCAGAAATTGTAGCTGCACCAAGTCCCCAATCCACATTGGCAGTGTTCCAGAGAAGCTATTCCATCCAAGATCCAGGAAACCCAAACTTGTGCAGCTTTGCACAAATTGTGGGAATTCACCAGAGAGGCTATTGTTACTCAAAAGCAGGTACCTCATGGTTCCCATCGAATCGCATCGGGGTAGTTCTCCAACTAAAAGATTGTTCGCCAAGTCTAAGATAAACAAGTCCTGCGATTCGCAGATGGATTCAGGAATTGTACCTGTGATGTGATTTGAGAACAGAATTAGCGATAGCAATTTCGGAGACTGAATCTTTGGCAAAGGCCCTGACAATGAGTTTATGGAGATGTCCAAGATGGTGATATTCCTTGGTAGCTTTGGTATGTGCCCAGTAAGTTGGTTTGAACTGAGATAGAGTTCTTGAATTGACATGGCCTCCAAATTTGCCGGCAACCCGCCATATATCGAGTTCTCGGAGATATCCAAAACTGCCATCTTTGGAAATGCAGTGCTGAGCCAATCCGGAAGCGTATCATTTATACCTGTGCTTGAGATATCAAGGCAGGAGAAATCCACCTGCCACTGAAGCCATGCAGGAAACAAAGGACCCATTGCGCAATGCGAAAAATTCACTTTCTCGAGACTGAAGGGAGGCTTCCACTCTGAACCCACCTCAATCTTGAGGGGATTCAGAGACAAGTCTATCGTCGTTAACCTCGCCAATCTAGCAAAGTGCTCTTCAGTGATCACACCATCAAGATCATTTCTACTGATGTCAAGGTAAGTCAAATTAGCGAGCTTACCGATCTCGGAAGGAACATGTCCACTGAGGTGGTTACCATAGAGGTCTAGTGTGGTTAAGCTACCAAGATACCCAATTTCTTCAGGGATTTGTCCAGTGAGGAAATTTTCAGACAACACAAGGGTGCTCAAACCTGCAAAACACCCTTCTCCTGCCGGTATCAATCCGGTGAGGTTATTGAAAGACAGATCAAGAATGTCCAAACCTGACAAATTCCCCATCGACCGCGGTATCGGACCAGTGAGATTGTTATAAGAGAGATCAAGAACGCGCAACCCGGTCAGATGCATCAGTTTGTCATAATCCGGCAAGGTTCTTGTCATACCATTGTTTGGCAGGTACAATTCCTGCAACATGTTTGATGATGAACACTGCTGCGGCAGCCTCTGCATCAGCTCGCCGATGTCGCCGCCGTCGAGGGCCGAATCGAGATCTAGCACCCTCAGATTGCAGAGGCCTCTCAGGCTTCTTGGCATGGTGGCCCTGTTGCCATTGTAGGAGAGATCAAGAACCTGGAGGGATGCCATGGCGTCCAGCTCGTCGGGGATCTGGCCGTGCAGGTGGGTCCCCATCAGGTTCAGGTCGGTGAGGCTCGTGATGTTCCAGATCCAGGCGAGCTCGGCTCGGTGGTCGAGGTGGTTCATGGAGAGGTCGAGCAACTTGAGGTTGGTGAGGTTGCGAGGAAGAAGCCGCCGCCATTGTTGCGTGCTCGAGCTCGGGAGCGAGCAGGAGGAGAGGTGGAGGGCTGTGAGGGATGGGAGCATGGCGATGGCGAGAGGCCAGTCTCGCGCGCTGCTCAGGTCGACCGAGCTCAAGCTCAGGTGGCGCAGCGATGGCATGCGGGCGAGCCATGAGAGCTCCGACGAGCGCGCGAGCTGCGGGGAGAAATCGGTGGAGAGGTCGAGGTAGCGGAGGCTCGAGAGGTTCCCGAGGTGGGGTGGGACCTCGCCGGAGAAGTAGATGCCGGAGAGGTTGAGGTAGCGGAGGCTCGCGAGCCCGCCCAGGAACGCCGGCGGCGGGCCCGGCGGCGAGCCCTGGAGGTAGTTACGGCTGAGGTCGAGGTGGCGCAGCCGGCGGAGGGAGAGGAGCGCCGGGCTGATCGCGCCGACGAGCGCCGCGCCGCCGGCGTAGTACCCTCGGTCGTCGTGCTCCGCGCCGCCGCCGCCTGCGGCGGCGGCGGCGTCGTTGCGGAGGCGGAGCGCCACCACGTGCCCGTTCGTCCGGTTGCTGCACCGGACGCCACGCCACCGGCAGCAGTCGCCGCCTCCTCCCCGACGCCGCCACGTGGCGAGGCGCCCCGCGGGGTCGCCGGTGACGCCGTCCCTGAACGCCAGCAGCGCGTCGCGCTCCTCCGGCACGCATGCCAGCGACAGGGTGGCGGCGGCGGCGAGCAAGAACGTCGCGGCGAGGCGGCGCGCGGACATGGCGGCCCCCGGCCGTGGACTAGCATGGACGGCGACGGCGACCGGTTCGTTCGTCTATGTAGGCGGCTGCAATCACTGACCCGCCCGCCCCCACCACCATGGATGATGGATGTGAGCCTCGCCGCCATTGATGATGGATGTGAAGGTCTAGTCGTTGTCCGTTGATTGATCGTTGACCGGATGTATCATCGAGGCGCGCGAGGTAGACGAACCCGAACTCCGTGGAAAATCGGCGCAGTTTTCGGCTACTTTTTGACGGATTCTTTTTTCGAAAATATATATTCTTTTCACATTTTCAGGGCTTCTATAGCTTTCGGTGGAAAAACAAAAGATTTGGATTTCTAAGGATCAATTTATATGAGTGTTAATGAAGTATAGAAAAACCAAAAGAAAATATCATTTTCTACAAGTTGTATATTCCTGTGAATTAATGTGTACAAACATTACGGTCCCATCATTTTCCTTATTCGGGGAATAAGCGAAACAACATATTTACAAACAAAAATAAATAATTTATGAATAAAACGTGTTCTTAATGATATATAAGCAAATACTGAAAAAGTTTAATAAACTTTGATGAAAAAACTCTAAAATAAACTTTAAATTTAAAGTTAAAATTTAAATTTTAACGGATAAGCAGGAGTACAGGAAAAAAGATGAGACTTACTATTCCTTACCTTAATTTTCTATTCCAATGAATACAAATTCCTCCGAAAATGCTCTACTCCGGCGACTGGCCACGCACCCCTCCCACACCCCTCCCACGTGTGTATCTGCTAAACCCATCTACTTCTCCCTCCTTTTTTACATAAAAGATGTTTTATCTAGTATATTTACAATGTTTCACTATTTATTGATTTAATAATGTAGTGAATTAAAATATTCTTTTGCAAAAAACCCCATATTTTGGAAACTCTCTATTAAGAAAATTTAGTTTATTTTTTATTCCAAAAAAATGTTTCACCTGTACTCACAATGTTTCACTATATATATCTAATGTTGCAATGAACGAAACATTCCATTGCAACAAAAAAACCCACATATTTTGGAAACCTCCTATTAAGGGAATTTGGTTTATTTTTTGTTCCACCGAAAAATATTTCACATAGTGTACTCACAATGTTTCACTATGTAAAGAACTGAAACATTCTTTCGCTATTTGCTGAAACATTGTTTTTATATATGGTGAAATAACACCCGATTTAAATGAGTGAAACATTTTCAATCTACTTAATGAAACAATTCCGATATACCTGGTAGAACATCGTGCAATATTTAAAAATAATTCAATAATAAACTTTTTTTTTCATCAGAATATATCCATGTGTGGTTTTGTTATAAAGATTTAATTGCAACGAATTTAATGGTACAATCGGATCATAATTTGATTAAGTAATTTAAGAGATAAATCAGTTTAAAGTAATTTTACACGTAAATCGAGCGCTGACGTCATGTTAATGTTAGCGCCCGATTTTACCCCCCCCCCCCCGATCGGACGCCCGACCAGGAGTCATCTCCGAATTCCTCCGAACATAAAAAAAACCCTTACAGGAATATACTAAATGACAAAAATATACCATCGTTGCAGTTACAGTTATGCTCTACAAACTCGTGGCAGCATGCGCATGATGCGAACTCGCTGCCGGGCTGCCGGCGCCGGCTGACGAGTTCGCTTGGTCCGCTTGGATGCCCAGCGAAGTGACTGGCATAGGCTAATGCCATAATTAATCATCATGATTATTTGTTAATTAACTTGCTAATGACACCAATGAAAGAAAGAATGATTAATTATTTAATAAATAATGACATTAATTAATTAATTAGTCGTGTGAGTTGCTACACAACGATTCGAGCTTGCCGTGAGTTCACATTTTTCCACGCGAAGTTGAACACTCGCCACGAGCTCGTGATGATGTCACCGACACGTCACGAGTTTGCGCAGTCTTCGTGCGACACACGCGGACCATGAGAACTTGTGATGATGTCATGGGCACTCCACGAGTTCGCGCACTCTCGGTGTGAACTTTGGCCTCAAAGGCAGACTTTGCCCTTGCTTCTATCTTAGCCATCCATTCAGCAATTAATGGACCTATCAAAGTAATTAATTCAGCAACCAACCAACCGAGATTAAAAAAAGAAAACTATCTACTAGTCGGATAAGAGCTGCAACATGATCTTTGATTTCACGTTTTTTCAGGACTTTCGACAGTATATTTACTCGATATTTATGGGTCACTTTTTTTCTTTCAAAAACAATTAATTTTTTAACGGTAAACTATATACATTTACACGTTAATTATACTATCACTTTAAAACGAGGATAAAAGCAAATGATTATACTGTCGCTATGTTTAGTTTCAAAATAATTCTTCAAACTTATAATTTTTCCATCACATCAAACTTTTCTACACACAAACTTTCAGCTTTTCCGTCACATCGTTCCAATTTCAACCAAACTTCTAAATTTGGTGTGAACTAAACATAGCCTGTATTCGGCACCCATTTTCCTAACATTTCTCTCGTTTTTTACGTGCATGTTTCCAAAATGCTAAACGATACTTTTTTTTTAAATGTATCTATACGTAAAGTTGCTTAAAAAATCAAATTAATTTATTTTTTTAGAAAATAGCTACTTCCTCCGTTTTACAATGCAAGTCATTCTAGCATTCTCCATATTTATATTAATGTTAATGAATCTAAATAGATATATATGTCTAAATTCATTACCACTAATATGAATATGAGAAATACTAAAATAACTTAATATTGTAAAATAAAGGGAGTACTAATTAATTAATCACAAGATAATGTATCGTTCCGTTTTCACCGGTACGGTTCCCGTTGGGGAACGTCGACTAGCGAACACAGCTCACATAAGGGCATTTTGGCCTGACAGCCACAGCTCCCGCTCACAGAGGAGGGAGGCGGGGCACCTCGCTTCGCGGCGGCTTCATCTTCTTCCCGCGAGAGGAAACCCTCGTCGTCGCCTCCTCCCCCAATCCCCTCCCTAGCTCTTGCCCCGATCGTCGATCCTCGCCTCGCCGGAGAATCCCCGAGCCGCGCCGCCCCTTCCTTCCTTCCTTCCTCCTCGCCCGCGCCGTACCCAGGTATGTCGGGCCGATCGTCGATCGATCCATGCCCCCGCCGTTCCTCCCGAAGACCTAACCCTAACGCTTCCGCATAGATCATCCCCGAGCTCAGATCCCGCTCCTCCACTCCTCATCGATCGGTCATGGCCGCCGCACCAGCACCAGCGCTAGCCCCCGACGCCGCCGCACTCCAGCTGCAGGTACGATCTAACTACGACTCTCCCCTCCCTGAATCGACTTCGTTTTTGCGAGATGATGAGACTAATTTTTTGAGTTTTATAGTGCAGAATCCGGACAAAATTTACAAAGTGCTACCGAGATCCTGTCTGTCTCGATCCCTGGTGTTTGGATTTGGTTGTTCCTCGCGATTGCATTTTGGTTCCTTGTTCATATATGCGTATATGTGTGCTCGGAAATTCGTGGATATGCATATGCTGTAAGGTGTTGCACCCCTTGGTGCTTGGATCAGAATGTCGTGCATATGCATATATGCATATGCATATGCTGGAAGGTGTTGGTCCCCTTGGTGCTTGGATCAGGATGTGGTTTGGTTATTCGCCGCAGTTGGTTTTCTTGTTAATATGTATTCGGAATTCGTGGCTATATCGGAAGGTGTTGTCGCCGGATCTGTGGTTCACTCAGAATGAATTGGTGATTTTGAGGTACAATCTGTCATTTGGCCATGAATTCGTGGCATTATCAGAAGGTTTGCATTTGTTTTCGTTACACATTTGATGGTAATAGTTGTTGTACGGTTCTGTGGCAAAATCTATTCAAGGTAGTTAGATTAAATTTATTCAAGGTTTGCCATGATGTTGAGTACTTCACACGGAAGGTAATTTCTGAAGATATTCATTTTCCTTTCCCTGAACAACCAACAAAAACTGCTAGTCACTAAAGAACAGTGGTTAAAATATTTACATATATTTATTTCCCCAAAGGTTAGGCTGATTAATAGGAAATTACCACATGATAGATCTATAACATGATATGGTAACAACATATGAGTCCTTTTTATAATTTATTTACTCTTCTTTCTCCTCAAAAGGTTCTTTGACGCTTGGTAATATTGTCTTTAATTATTGCTACCTGCTTTGAACCAAGTGTGCAAAAACTCTGCGGTTGCATTTGAAATGTTCTAGATGTGTTAATTGTGGCACACAAGTCATCTTACTGCTGGTTGCCTTTTGGTTATTTGGCTACACCATTCAATGATGGTGTTTTGTGGCAACGTTTAGATCCAGAAATCATCTGCAGGTTTGACCATCGAGCTATGCTTGCCCAGGTGTTCCTTGCAACATCAAAATTAATTCAACTGTGTACCACCATCTATTGTGCTTGCCAGAATAGTTGGCCTGTTCTCGTGTGAGACTTATTCTTGCAGCGTGATCATGTCCATCAATATGCCATGCAAAAAACTATGTCATTGCTGTACTTGCTATCCATACCTTGGTGATTTTAAGATTTAAGTCGCTAATGATTCATAGAACTTTCCTCAAGTATGCTGACTATTGGCAAATAGTGGCCATCCCTATACCAACACGTTGCCATCTGGGATCACTCCCAGCTTTATCTGCTGAAATTGATAAATTCTTGTAGTTCTTTGGCTTTGAAAACTCAATCTATCACTCTCATCTGCCATTGCCTTTTTTTTTTTCTCATGATAATCTTGCTTTTCCTCCTGACGAAATCAAATAGCTTCTGGCAGTGGTCTTAGGTTGCTATCTGCTTAACCACCTCAAAAGCTACTGCTTTTATTTATATTGTGATTTTGGTCAGAGTTCCAATAGCCAATAGGCATTCTGTCACCTTTGTCCCAAGGAACCTCTTTACGTGTCCACAATCAATTGAGTTCCATGTATACAACCAAAGCCATTATAACTGTTGCACTAATAAAGAAGATATTGGTAATCAATTCTAAGATTTTTCTTGGAACTAAAGCTCAAGTAAGAAAGCATTTCACATCCAGAGTTAAACTGTAGCTACCTATACATTCTAGATTTCTAGTGAAACTATAGCTACTGATATATTCTAACTCCATCAGCACATTTTTTGGCTCGAATGTGTAATTTAGCTTCTTTGTCATTCACCATTTGACTCACTTCATAAGGAAATAAATCTTAACCTCTGATTAATGAATGACCATTTTCGCATACTTAATACTAACCTTCAGATGCTACTTGTTTTTTCTTACTATTAAGTTGATTCAATATGCCTTCCTGCTGCTAGGTTCACCGCACATTATATTGTTCAGATTCCATTATTTTAGAAGTCCTTTTGCAAAAACAAATAAACGAATATAGAAACATTAATGAAATATAGAATTGTTGTTCAAAAATAAGCAAAACTTTATCTTTTTGAATATTAAGATATTAAATGTGAAAATCCATACTCTGGCTGATTTTTTTTGTGACACTTGATAGGCAAGAAAAATTAAAAGAAATGCACTTGATGCCAAAAAAAAAAGAAAGAAATGAAGATCCCGCAGGACTGGGGTAGGCTAGTCTGATAGTTTAGATGGTTTCAATATATTTGTTGTGCTGTTGGCTTTATACCTTTTGGGAACCTGTAACCTGTGGTTTCATTTTGTCTCCCTCAAATGACTGGTGGTTAGGAAGTTTACTTGAGTTCCGAGTACTATAATCAATAGTGCTCAATATGTTGGGTCTTTGTTTGATCGCAACCTAAATTATAAGCAGGCATCCACAGCAAACATATCTTATGTTTGCTTTCTTAAAATCAGGGCCCTCGAGCCTTTTCTCTTGAAGACAACTTGATAGTAATAAATCAAAATGCAACTCCTTATTTAACTGCATTTTTTGTTCTTTTTATGTATTCTTTTACCTTTGGAAAGAACATATTTGCAATCTACATTATTGTGCAATAAGGACATTGTGCAATAAGAGCAATGTTAGCAATGTTTTCCTGAAACTGCTCTTATGTATTTTTCCTACCTTTGCAGGCTATAAGGACATTTATTATTGATATTGAGCATGTAGGTGACAGGACCTATCACACTTTAATGAGAAGCATTCATGAGTACAATTTGCAGAACTCTCCATTCACGTGCCTCAATGCTGCGGTAACACCAGCTGGTGGATATCATATGATCTTATTGTACAAGGGACAAAAGTCTGTTAGGCTGCTCTTCAGGGACTCGGACGGATATCTTGTTGCTGTTGAAGATGACTTGGGTTCTTGGTACGGTTCAAAGATATACCAGAGCTACCATTCATTAATTCAGCTGAAATGAAAATGGAATCAGGCTATGGAGACATGGAGACGAGTGAAAAGTAAGGATATCAAAACTCTGTTTCCTCTAGCGTGTTACAATCATATTTCATCTGTTCCATATGTTCTTTTCTAGATTCAAGTTGCAATCCTATCCTGAAGCTCATTACCTCTATTGTGTATTTCAGACCAGTCACCGTGGGCCCGAAAGCTTTGAATGATCTCTTCTATCGTCTTTTGAAGTATGACAACAATGCAACCCTTGGCAGTCAGACTCTTGAATTGCAAATGAAAGCACTGTACCGAGCATGCTTAATGTTTGGTGAGGGTCCGAGAATCCGTCATGTAAGAAGGTTTGTACAAACAATCCATCTGAATATGATTATCTTGAATAGCAATTATAGCATACTGATATTATTACTATTGCCTCTTGTATTGCTTGATAGGTTTGTGTCGAAAAGATTCAAGGTATTCATGGATCTGGAGTTTCCAAGTGATCTGTGGAAGCTTGTCCACAACTGGGGCCATGTGTCTAAGTACATCATCTTCTGCTACGACAACAACATGCTAGAGGCACCACAAGTGGACAATGCTGAGTACATGTCACACATGAGGATTATGTCTTTCATCGAGATCCAGGGTCAAAGAACCATCTACACCCCCACAGATGCAGCTGGACCAGGTGGGGCCCTCCTCCTGGTGAAGGCAAATTAATCATTCGCTCGGGCTTCATGTTGCACGAATTGTGTAACCACTTCAACCAAAGCCATACCGCACGCGACAACATTGCACAGTTCGCACTGCAGCCTGACCTGAAGTTCATGAACTGCATTTATGGCCAGGAAACTGTATATGAAAGTTAAACTGTTCTGAACTAGAGTTGCTTGTTTTCGATGGTTTGGATGTAAAGTGCACCACTTGCTATGTTCTACCACGTTAGTGTAGCACCAGTCCAGTGATATGGATCATCAATGTTTGATCCTGCTCCCTCTAAACCAAATTGGTGTTTGACCATATTTGATTTTTCACATCACTGCTACTTTGTGGAGTATTCACTACCACGACCTGCGTAAATTGTCAGGTTTACTCAGGCATTGTATGATGCAACGAATAATGGTATTCTTGTGCCCTCCTTGCTCGTCGAGTTGAGGTTATAATCCGATACTGTTAACAATTGATGGTGTCTTCGTTCATATCGCTTGTTAGCAACCACACTTTTTTTTTTCGCCGGGAAGGCCGAAGAAGGCCAACCGAGTATATTAAGAAGGAATAAAAGTTCCAAGAAAAAAAACATCAAAATGCACTAAGGTGCATTGCCACACAACGCACTACCACCCAAGCACAAACCGCTGAGGGTGAAACCTAGCACCAAACGACCCCCGCTAAGTGTGGCCAAACGCCGCTAGGCCTACGGCAACACCACAGAGACAAGGCTCCGAAAACGATGCCACCATGGTGGTCACGACATTCAGGATGCTGCCATCGCCTATCTAAAAAGATGTGGTTTTCACCCAGAGAAGCTCGCCGAGAAAGGGATAGGGTAACCCTCGACAACGCTCCAAGGAGATTACGACACCCGAAGACGTAGCCGTTGCTGGCCCGGTGAACCACCGGACTAGGCTTTCGCCTGGGACCCTACAACCTTGACTGCAGATCGCCGTCCACCAACTCAGAACCACCACACAGACAAATGGCAGCACGTGGCATCCACCACACCGCACCGACGCCCCTTCATCGGCCGACTTCAACGAACCACCACCCCTGAGAGCTGGCCCAGGACTCCTCCGTTCCACCACCCGCTGGCCGCCTCACCAGATTTGGCCGAAGGAGAACCCGGGACTAGGTGGTATTGCTTCGGCAGCCTGAGCTTGCCCTACTGACGAGTTGCCGCCTCAATCCAACTTAGAAACTCCCCGCAAAGAAGGGGAGGAGCTCCATGAAGGCCGAGGGTGCCGACCGGCAACGAGGAAGACGAACCACCGCCACCAGCTTCCTTTGCACTGCAATCTAGCCGCCGGTGGTGCTGCTGCTCCGGACCGGCGCTACCGGCCGGCGCCCCCGAAGTCCGGTCGCCGCGCCTCACCTGGCCACCGCGATAGCATCCCGGCTGCCCAGCCACCATTCCGAGCCGCCACCGAGGCCTGGACGACCCACCGCGCCATGGGCTGGCGCCGGGCGGCCAGGCCGAGCGAGTGAGCGGGGGTGCCGCTGCCGCTCCGGGCAAGCTGCGCTGCCCGCCGCCTCCGCGCGCCCGCCTCCTCCGCGACCGGCTGGCCACGACGAGCCGCGGCCATCCGCCGCCCGCTGACGAGCCTCCTCCATCCGCCGCCCGCTGACGAGCCGCCTCCGCGCGCCTCCACGCCGAGCCGTAGCCGTCCGCCGCCTTCGCGCCCGTGCCGGGCCGACCTAGCCGCAGCCGGCCGCCACCACGACCGCATGCCGTCGCGCCGCCGCCGTGCAGATCCAGGCGAGGGAGGGCCGGATCCGGCCATGGGGGCTCTAGATCCGCCACCTCCTCCCCACCTCGCCGCCGTAGCCGCCACGGACCATGTCGGTGGGGAGCTTCGTCGTCTTCGTCCTTCGTGCCGAGGAGGGAGACGCTACGAAGAGAAGAAGGCCTCGCCGCCGCCTTCCCTACCCGCTGCTGGCTTCGCCGCCGGTGGGCTCCAGCGGCGGCGAGGTGGGGGGAGGGAGGGAGAGAAGGCGCGAGCGGCTAGGGTTTTTCGCCCCCGAGCCGCCCGACGCGGGGGAGCAAATGCCTTTCTCCCTTGGGAATTAGCAACCACATTAACAGTGTCAGTCGACTGGCTTTGCAAGTTTCAGAAAAAGAAGAATATCATCTAAAAAGGAAACAGAACAATAATACCAGAGATTTTTTACAGTAGATAGGAACTAAGGGTTGGTATTTCTCGATACCCTAACATTGCCATGCCAAACCTTGGGTATGCCACAATTTGTTATTATATTATTTGGTTGGTTAGTGCACTTGCATCATATCTCACTTTGCTAGTATTTGGGCCTACGCATCATAGACTCATCAAATTCTTACCAAACTTATACATATATGGCCAACAAATTGATAACATCACTTTGTGTGGCATGACATACACGCTTGTGACAAAGTGAGGTGTGGCGGCCATCAACCAAACAACCCATTGTGATAGGGTGATGGTACTGCATCGTGATAGGATGGTGGAAGGGTAATAATGTTATTTTTTTCATTATAAAATTCCCCATGGTTGGATGAGGCAGGCAAAGCAAAAGAAAGGAACTGCCATAGGCGGCAAACGCTAGTTTCCTATCTCCTCTCTACTCATACTCGACGACGCCACTGCTTTCATCGCGATTCGTTGCAGTGTCATTCCCCCTTCTTCCACTCGTGCAACGCTTACGTATAGCAAAAAAAAAATAAATTTTCTCCGTTTCACAATATAAGTTATTTTAGTATTTTCACATTCATATTGATGTTAATGAATCTAAATAGATATATATGTCTAGATTCATTAATATCAATGTGAATGTGGGAAATATTAGAATGACTTACGTTGTGATTTGTGAAACGGAGGGAGTATTATATTTTAGACGGACACAGTAGTTTACAAGTAACTAACTCAAGGTAAATATGTCTATTTGTCACCATTCATGAAATCATTCTTTTAAGGTGATACTAAATCAAAGGAATCATGGACCAGGAGACAGTTGCCAGCATCTTACAGAAGCCAAGATCAAGTGTTCTACAAGAACTTTCAAATCTTTGAGCAGCGAACTCGGCGTGATCTTCAGCAGCAACACCAACCCCATCATACCCACCACTACTATCACTTCGAGCGATGATCGCATGAATCTTCAGCACCCCTGTACTTTCGACGACGGCGACACTCCGGGCAAGCTTGATCACTCCATCATCAGCAACAGCTAGTACTGAACCATCGTTACTGGAATCAGCAAACACCACATCGTCGTCGTAACCATCGGTCCTCGCGACAATTCTTCCGCAAAAACCGCTTGATCCTTGAACAACTCTAACCTCGATCGCCGCCTCCACCGCCCCCGCGAGATTGGCGAAGGTGACCTCTACCGAGCAACGCTTGCCTGGCCTTGCCTTCGACCTAACCTGCCCAACCATGCAATTCGGCCCCATTGTTTCATACACAATGTATCTGGCACTCAACACCTTATCCCTATCAGATTGCGTTTTCCCCCTAACCTTGAGATCGACTTCGAATTCGATACGCTGGGAGCAGTTGATTGCACGGATAGGTCCTGTCAAGACGAAAGACGGGTCCTGCAAATTAAACATCCAGGTTATTTGGTTAAAAACTACTAGTAGCAAACATATATTGTTGTAGCAAATATTGTTTAAAAAAAGCAATATTGACATGATATATTCTCTGAAGTAAACCAGTTAGAACTTCGATCAGCAACCCAAGCAATCGATGTTATAGAGAATGTAGCATCGATGGTTCAAATCTAGGTGAAATTTCATCTATAGATATCTGAAATACTCAAGTATCCATTAAAAAAGAAGTGATCAAATAGGCCCTTTTTAAATTTTATTCTTCAGCACAATGGCACGAAATATTTAACTACAATGAACCACTTGCAAATAGCATATGCAAGATGTTGGACATATATGGAGTTTCAGTTCAGTTAGATTATAACCAATTATTTATGTTGTTAAAATCCGTACCAACTGTCAATGTTTCGGTCTGGAAAAGATTGTTTTCCTCCCCACTTCGAAATCTCAATTCAATGTAATCTCAATTCACCACAAACAAAGACGGTGTTCAATATCGCAAATTTTATTTTTATAAAAAGTATCGGATGGACACAAATTTTTGAAGTACCCTTCCTGAATAGTTACAAATTTGAGCATATTTTAGCCATATCCGAAGAAATATTCCCTAACACAAGGGACTGAAAATCCTGGAATTTCACTCCGAGATATACTGAACCCCACATTTTTACAATTTATTATAAGTATACATCTATATATAATATACCTCCGTGGTGAACGTCTGGGCGTCGTCCCTCGGGCGATTGAAGATGTAGTTGCGCTTGCGGTCGAGCCCATCGCGCGCCGCGACGAAGCCGAAGACGTCAATCGGCCACTCCAATCCGCCCGTGAGGTCGATCACCCTGCACGAGTACACCTCCACGCAGGGGGATATCCGCGCCCCCGGCGTGTGGAACGTCGGACCCCTAGCTGCAGCAAATTGCAAAAAAAAAAAAGAGATCAAATTAGAGATATTATTATATCGATCGTGTTTTGATCTTCTTCTTCTCCTGGATGTATATATATTCGATCATGATCCAGATCGAATTAATTAATTGTTTCTAAGATTTCAGGAATTAGGAGAAAAATTAGTACTACTTACTGACGTCGTCGATCTTGCAGCCGTAGTAGTCCCACAACCACTCGAAGAATACGCGGTACTCGTACGGGTTGGGTTCGGAGTCGTCGTCGTCGTCGTCGACGACGACGAGCTGCCTCTTCGCCTCGCCGTCGCCGGCAACGGCGACGTCGAGGATCGCCGCCGCCTCCGAAACAGACGTCTCCGCGGCCATTGTTGCAGATCGATCGATCGATCGAGTCGGTTCAGTTAATCGGTCCGCTTTTTTTTCCCCTTTATCTTTTAAAAAAAATAGTATCAGAGTTTCCTTTTTCTAAAACTAACACCCGTGCATTGCAACGTGATATTCAAATAATATGTGGATTATTTTTATTCTTTGCTTCTTCTTTTTCTCATGTATATATATGGCGGCAGAAGCAAAAGACGGTAATTAACCTCCTGCATCTATAGTGATAGTGAATTCACCTATTAGAGCTTATTATTTATTTATTTATTGGGCCGAGGATACCCGGTTGGGCGGGGCCTAGTGGGCCACGGGACAGTGACATCGCCGTTCACCAAGGAAAAGCGCATTAAAAGGTCACACAACTTGGCTGGAAAAAAATATACCCCTAGGGTTGATAATACTCATCCTTTTGGACAAGAACACGATTTTAAAAAAACAACTTTAGCCATTATTTTTTATTATAATATATATAAAAGTGTTAACAAATATATTATTTTATTAAAATACTTTTCAAGACTAATTAGTTTATAAATGTAGTCGCCATATTAAAAAGATAAATATTTTAAAAACGATTCATAATTAAAGATTCTAAAGTTTGACCTCACCCTTATCTAAAACGATAAGTATTATCAGCCCGAAGGAAGTAGCTCATGAGGATATCTGAGCCTGTAGTTGTGGCAGAGACGAGTGGACGTTGCGGGTGAGGAGGAGGATGACTGATTTTTTTTCAGGTTTTCTATAAATATGTATACAAATTAAGTTTCCATATTATGTATATATTACATAAAAAATACATATGTATATTATATATATATATTGCATATATACGTATGTGTATACTTTATATATACATATATATACACTAAAGAGAAGAGAGAGACTTTAGGGGGGTGGACTAATCGTACGAGCGCGTGGGCATGCGCCCAGCCGCCAATTAGCCGCCCGTGGCGAACGCAGAATTAAAAACAAGATGGGACGAAGATATTCGTTTCATAAAGACAACTAAAGCAACAAATACCATATTTATACTGTAATCGCATAAAAGTATAGTATAATCAATAAATTAAGGCAAATAAAACCATTTTAAAACAAAGCAATAATCGTTATGCCATATCTAATTCATCATACACCAAAAGATTGATAAAACATGATTGATAGATATCTTTTAAAAGGATAAACATATTAGAAGACATATCGTCAATAAATCACTAAGCCTTTATAGGGACTCTAGGATGTTTAGGCAATTCTATTCGCTGATCATCCATGGCTTGAAACCTCAGTTTAACTTTTTTAAAATCGAGTCCTCCAAGAATCTCCTTCTCAATGTAGGACAATATCATGTCATTGAGCCATTCGTCAGACATCCTATTGCACAAATATGTCTTGATTATAATCATAGCCAAGAATGCTCTTTTAACAACAAGTGCATGATATACCTTGATTTCTTGCCGATGATACTTCTGTCACCAGCTAGGCATGGCATTCGGACTCAATGGACTTCCTCGCCCGTAGCCAGCAGCGGCGATGTTTGTAGGCTCCATCGAGTTGAATGCGAACCGGAACCACGGCCTGTCCATCTATATATGTCCATAGCGGCAGGACGGCAGCGGCTAGGGTGCTAGGCAGCTAGCCACCGCTCGGAGCTGTGTCGACGATGTCCTGTACTCCTGTGGCTGTTGCCTGTTGGCCTACTGTCGCCTGCCCATACCGGGGTACCCTGTTGCCGCCGGTGCGCCCTGCTGTGAGCTGTCGCTGGCGGCTGCTGCCGTGCTGCGCTAGCTGCTGTGGACTGCTCGTCGCGCAGGGACAGCCGAACGCTGGATGGGGGTGGGGCTAGGGTGGCACCGCGGCTGCGCGGCAGATGACAGACACCGTACACGCTAGACGACGAGGCGGGCAGGCAGACGGCGCCGAGCAGGAGAGCGAGCTGCGAGCATGGTCGGGTCGGCTGTCGTCCGTCGCTAGGGCTAGAGCGGGCGTCGTGCCTGTGCGGGACTGCGGACAGTGAGACGCGCCCGGCTTGCGAAGTCGCGGTCGCGGAGACGAAGCGTTGATCACGCGCGAGTAGCGAGATGCGGTGAGTCCGTCATTCCCTGAAAAATCGAAATTGAACACTTGGGCTACTCACTTATGGGCCAATTGCGAATAGGATGCGGTGGTGGGCGGCCCAAGAGGGAAACGGAGAGATGGGGGCGACGCGGGCCGTAGCTGGGCCGGTCACCCCATGCCGCCCAATGGGTACGTCCACCCCTCAATCCCTCATGCGCTGCTGGCCTTCAAGTGGGGGCATTATCAGCGATGGCGCGGGCCTCCTCGCCTCATGGAAGCGAGACGACCATGACTTCTGCCGGTGGAGAGGCGTCCGGTGCAGCAACCTCACCGGCCATGTCGTCAAGCTTTCGCCTTCGCAACAATCGTGCCGATGATTTATCAGACGATGTACTGATGGATCTCTCTTTGGCAAGATAAAGTCCTTCCTTGCTCTACTCGCATCATCTAACGGCCTATGTTCCCGGAGCTCTTGGGGTTCTTTCAAGAAGTTGATATATCTCAACCTATCCAGCTTGGTAATCTCTCGAAGCTGCACTACCTTGATAACTCACTGTGCGACAATCTGTATTCCGCTGATCTCTCTGTTTTTCTTTTAGAGAAGGACATTTTTTACCCGCTGATCTCTCATGGTTAGCATGTCAACCTTTTCATTTTATTTTTAGATAATATCACGTCTACCTTTGATGCGATTCCTCAGTATGGAGTCGGTAAACCTTAGCACCATAGGCCATAGCTGATTGGCCTCATGTGTTGAACACCATTGCTTCATTGAGGGTCCTAGATCTTTCCAATTGCTCTCTTACAAGTACAAACTAGTCATTGTCACACCTTAATTTCACAAATCTTGAGGAGATTGGCCTCTCCTTCAACTACTTTGACCTGACATGCTTGAAGGTGAAATCCCTTCAAGCATGCCAAAATTAACATACTTAAGTACTTTGGACTTGTCCTACAACAATCTTACAAGACTCTACAACAATAATCCGTCTATGTACGATGGCAACGCCGGTCTGTATGGGGATCTTCCTAAGCGGAAATGCCCTGGGACCGACGCATCAAATGATTATATATGAGTTAAAAAGATCGCTGTGAGTAACTGTACGTATCTCTGCTTTGGACTTGTCATTGGATTTGTACTTGGACTTGTATCTCTACCCTTGTTTTCAAGAAATCTTGGAGGATTGCTTATTTCCGCCTTTTCGACAAGGTATATGACAAAGCATATGTGTTTCTGGTTGTTACTTAGAACATTCTGGCTAGCAAGGAGGCCGCCAAACAATTAGTGCTGGTGATCCGCTGCTGCCACTATGACTTAGTGAGAATGATTATAGATTTGTAGTGTACTATCTCTGTTAGATTGTGTGTTTTTTTTTGGTCATTCTTAAGTTGAAAATAATGTTGAATGTTGTCTTGTTCACATAATGTAATGATTGTTGTCTTCTGTTTGCGATTCTTGTACTATCTCTGTTGTCAGGATAAATACAACAATTTGGTAATTTGGTCATTTTCTGTTACTTCCAGTTCCACTCATGGCAGTGCCTGACAACCACAAAGATATCATGCTGAATCTGGTTCAGATATTCCTATCGTCTAACCAAGATATTATTATGCTAAAGAAACTACCCCAGTACCATCAGCTCTGTGCAGCTCTAAGCTTTCCAGGGTGGATAGACAACCTTGAGCCAATATCCTGCCAGTCCAGCCTATTTTGGCCCATACTGAACTTAGCATGGTAAAAATTAATTTGAGTTATAGACTTTTAGGCCCATGGAGGTCTGCACCTGTCAAGATGTGTCACTAGTAGAGAAGACCAATTCAATGCGAGTTTCAAAACACCCATCAGTGCTGGACTTAGAACCGACACCTCTATGCCGGTACTGATGAGATGGGTTTATCGATGTCGAATTGAGAGGCAACACCGATTGGGAATGGAACAACTAAAAATAAAAGCACAAAGATCGGCTCAATTCATCGAGCCGATGTTTCGAGCCATGATCAACATCACAAATTCAGAAATTAAATCTCAAAATCATCACAAATCCAACCAAAATGAAGCAGAAAATATCATCACATAAACATTACAAACTGATAACATTCATCACAAACCTGAATTAATTACAAATAAAATACATTAAGCTACCACTGTCAATGGAGGCCAAAGCCACTGCCCCATCGCTCATAGAAGGCCGAGGTTCACCGTCAACGGAGATGGCAGCAGATCTTGTGGTCTGGACAAACAGGTGGAGCATGTCACCACCAGCGACCGGTCGAGAGTGTAAGGAGCACTCCGGTGATGGGTGGAGCGTCGCCCTAGAGGGATCCAAGGAACAACAGGTAGTAGGTAGAAGGTGGCAGGATCCTTTTCCATCCACCATGCCGACACAGCTCCTCTTCCACCCCTTCTCGCCTTGGTGGGGTTTGTGGCTAAGGGCTTATTTGGTTGTTGACCGGGCCTAGGGGTTCTCGCTCAGGCAGGTCGGTCTAGCCGTAGGCGTTCAAAATCGGACGCCTGAGAGTTGTGCCTTAGTCAGGTGAGATTTCCAGGGCATGAAGTAAACAGGCCCTAAGTCCCACCACTAGGCCACAGGCGGAAGGGCTAGCATAAATCATGTATTGTCTATGGCTGCGTTAGTTTGTTCTCTTTCTCAACACGAACAGTGCGCATGGAAAACGGAGCGGTCCATTAGCACGTAATTAATTAAGTAGTATTAGCTAATTTAAAAATGGATCAATATAATTTTTTTAAACAACTTGCATATATAAACTTTTTTTATAAAAAACATACCATTTAACAGTTTGAACTGGCTGAACTGGATAAACGAGAGGGGAGAGCTGAACTGCCTGGAACGAACGCACCTAAGTTTCAGGACTGGAGCAAAAAAAAACTATTTTGCTCCATGTAGGACAAATATATGGTGTCGTCTCAAGTTACAATCAAGACTGAGTAAAACGATCAACAATGTAGAGTTAATGGACATGTGTCACATCGTTCGAGGTACATCGATCTCTCAGCTACAAGTCTTTTATCAAAGCGACTTATCAACTGAACGCAAGTGACAGCCCCAAAGAGAAGTCGTCGTTGATCTCGTCTGCTACATGACACTAGCTAGAATAAAGTGCTATACTAGGTGAAGTGAGTTGGTGACTCAAGAATCAAGATACCCTTTAATTAGGAGCTTTTTCCTTCAAAATATTATCTGGATTCTCTGATAATTACATTCTTCATAGATTTCTTTTTAAAGATAATGGAAATATTTTACTTCTCCCGTCTTCTTTCCCAATGGACACACAGCCAAAAGTTTTTTTCCCCCAAAAGAAAAGACAAGACATAGAGTGATGGGAACAAGTCTACTCTACTGTCATGTAAACCTTGAAACTTTAAGTATGAATATTTTTCCCAATTATTTTGGTTAAATACAGTAAGATATATATATTCTTGATGCAACTAGATTCCAATTTTCTCCTATGTAAAAGTGCATGCACTATGATGATTTAATGATATAGTATAACAAATGGACAGCTTGCGTACATAATGCATGCATAATGACTTCTTCCTGGTCAAGCCAACTTGCCAGGAAGTAGGAAACTAAATGGATTCTAATCCCCATAGGATATCCACTCCTGTCATCCAAATACTTTTTTAAAAAAAAGATAAATTAATATGCGATATAATACTCCACAGCAAGTTAAAATTCAATCACCAAAAGTCGTAAAAAATACAAATTTAACTCTAACTATAGTATATACGTGCTCTTACAACCATATTTATTGTTTTATAATATGTTTGTAAAGTGATATATCATGTATTAATTTATCTTGATAATTTTTTTAATTTTTCATAACTATTTAAATGAAATGTAAGAAGCGAGAGTACATCATTATTTGAGATTTTTTTTAGAAAAAAAAATTAAAAAACATAAGTCACGCATAAAGTACTCATATTTTATCATCTAATAACAACAAAAATACGAATCATAAATTTTTTTTTTCAAATGAGACGAACAATTAAAGTAGAACACGGAAAACTCATGGCTGCGTTTAAAATGGAATGGAAGGAAGGAGTACTAAGTTGGTCACTGTTGGAGAGGTACAGTGACTTTGACCTAGCTTTCTTGAAATGGCTTTTTAACCACCATGGAGAGTCACTTTTGCTGATGGATAATAACACAAGCATCCATCAAGCCACTTGCTATACCAAAACACACAGTGAACCAGCATCTCACACTGCAGCTAATCAATCACTTAGCCATGCTCATGCGTCATCCGACCATCGCCGCCGCCGCCGCCGCCGCCGCCTCCATCCTCCTCCTCATGATCGCCGCCGATGGCCAGGCGGCGACGACGACACCGCCATCACCACCACCTGCAGCCATCGGCAACTACTGCAAACCGCGCGAGAGAGACGCGCTGCTGGCGTTCAAGGAAGGCGTCACCGACGACCCTGCAGGCCTCCTCGCCTCTTGGCGACGAGGTGGCGGTCAGCTGCAGGAGGATTGCTGCCAATGGCGAGGCGTCCGGTGCAGCAACCGCACCGGCCATGTCGTCAAGCTCCGCCTCCGCAACGACCACGCCGGAACAGCGCTGGCCGGCGAGATAGGCCAGTCTCTGATCTCGCTGGAGCATCTCAGGTACCTCGATCTCAGCATGAACAACCTTGCAGGTTCCACTGGACATGTCCCTGAGTTCTTGGGCTCTTTCAGAAGCCTGAGATATCTGAATCTATCTGGGATAGTGTTCTCCGGCATGGTGCCGCCTCAGCTCGGTAACCTTTCGAACTTGCGATATCTCGATCTCTCCAGGATAAGATTATCCGGCATGGTTCCATTTCTGTACATTAATGATGGTTCATGGTTAGCACACTTGTCCAATTTGCAATATCTGAAACTTGATGGGGTAAACCTTAGCACAGTAGTTGATTGGCCACATGTTCTGAACATGATCCCTTCTCTGAAGATTGTTAGCCTTTCTTCTTGCTCACTTCAGAGTGCAAACCAGTCTCTCCCAGAGCTTAGTTTCAAGGAACTTGAGATGCTTGATCTTTCCAACAATGATTTTAACCACCCAGCTGAGTCTAGTTGGATTTGGAACCTGACATCTCTCAAGCATCTCAATCTTAGCTCGACTAGTTTGTACGGTGATATTCCGCAAGCGCTAGGAAACATGCTGTCCCTCCAAGTTCTTGATTTCTCATTTGATGATCATAAGGATAGCATGGGCATGAGCGTGTCGAAAAATGGCAAGATGGGCACCATGAAAGCAAACTTGAAGAATCTATGCAATTTGGAAGTTCTAGACCTCGATTGTAGGCTAGAATATGGAAATATTATGGATATATTTCAGAGTTTGCCACAGTGTTCACCCAGCAAACTGAAGGAAGTTCATTTGGCTGGCAACAGTTTAACCGGGATGCTACCAAATTGGATTGGAAGGCTAACAAGCTTAGTCACTCTTGACCTCTTCAATAACAGCATCACTGGACAGGTGCCTTCTGAAATAGGTATGCTCACAAATCTGAGGAATTTGTACCTACATTTCAATAACATGAGTGGTACCATCACAGAGAAGCACTTTGCGCACCTGACGAGCTTGAAGTCGATATATTTGTGTTACAATCATTTGAAGATTGTGATGGATCCTCAGTGGTTACCTCCCTTCAAATTAGAGAAGGCTTACTTTGCATCTATTACGATGGGCCCCTCATTTCCTAGATGGCTTCAATCACAGGTTGATATTGTCGCACTTGCTATGAATGATGCAGGCATAAATGATACATTCCCAGACTGGTTCTCTACAACCTTTTCAAAGGCCAAGTTGTTGGAATTTCCCGGTAATCAAATCAGTGGTGGATTGCCAACAAATATGGAAAACATGTCATTGGAAAAATTATATCTGAAATCGAACCAAATAGCGGGTCTGATTCCTCGCATGCCGCGAAACCTCACTACATTAGATTTATCAAACAACTCATTGTCAGGACCTCTGCCACTAAATATTGGATCTCCAAAACTAGCTGAGTTGAATCTGTTATCCAACCGTATCACCGGGAATGTTCCACAATCTATTTGTGAACTGCAGAATTTACATGGCCTAGACTTATCCAACAATCTACTTGACGGAGAGTTTCCTCAATGTTCTGGGATGAGCATGATGTCATTTTTTCGTCTGAGTAACAACAGCTTTTCTGGCAACTTCCCATCTTTTCTTCAGGGTTGGACAGAGTTAAGCTTCCTTGATCTTTCATGGAATAAGTTCTCTGGGAATTTGCCTACATGGATTGGAAATTTCAGCAAGCTAGAAATTCTGCGGCTTAAGCATAACATGTTCTCTGGAAATATTCCTGCCAGCATCACCAAACTTGGAAATCTTTCTCATTTGGATCTTGCTAGCAATAGTATATCAGGTCCCCTGCCTCAGTATTTGGCAAATTTGACAGGAATGGTTCCGAAGCAATATTATACGAACGAGCATGAAGAGAGACTATCTGGATGTGACTACAAATCTCTTGTGACCATGAAGGGGCTGGAACTTGAGTATGATGAAGAAAATGTAACTGTGGTGACCATTGATTTGTCCTCAAATCTTTTGACCGGTGTGATTCCTGAAGACATTACTTATCTTCATAGATTGATAAATCTGAATCTATCGAGTAACTATTTGAGTGGAAAAATTCCATATTCGATTGGGAACATGCAGTCATTGGAATCGCTCGACCTCTCGAAGAACATGCTCTATGGTGAAATCCCACAAAGTTTGTCTGATTTATCGTCTTTAAGTTTTCTGAACCTATCTTATAACAATCTTGTGGGAGGAATACCATCAGGGACACAACTTGGCACCCTCTATGATCAAAACCATCATCTGTATGATGGCAATGATGGTCTTTGTGGGCCTCCTCTCCAAAAAAGCTGTTATAAAAGCGATGCATCAGAGCAAGGTCACCTGATGAGAAGTAAACAAGGTTTTGACATAGGGCCATTTTCCATTGGAGTTGTGATGGGATTTATGGCAGGTCTCTGGATTGTCTTCTATGCCCTTTTGTTCAGGAAATCTTGGAGGGTTGCTTACTTCTGTCTCTTGGACAAGGTGTATGATGAGGTTTGTGTGATTGCGGTTGTTGGTTGGGCAAGATTGACAGGAAGAACAGATCCGAGATTGCTGATGTCGCATGTCTCATGGTCATCCATCGACTCTGACGAATCCTATGAATAGATGAAGATGAAAAAGCTGAAGCAGGTGTAAGACTATTAGTTGGGTTGTATATTTTGTCATGTATGGAGCTTATTAGAGCAAGTACCCTAAATGCATATGATGCATAGATCTACAATGATGTGTATATATCTGTTTGTACTGGTACAGTTGTGTAGTGTGTCAGAAATCACCCTTCAGACTAAATCCTGAACTCACTCTTTCTATCAGAGCTCTGTTCTGAATGTTGTAGGACAGCTACAGTACCTGAAGAAAGATGAAAACAGAACAAGCAGAGCTGGGGCAGAGGTTTTGCGCTGCAAACTTCATCAGCTTTTCTGGGCTTATATTCTCCCTTAATAAGCAACTACGATTGGCTGAAAAATTCTAAATCAGCTAGTCCCTGAAAGACTAAACATTCTAATTACTTCCTGTTGAACTGGGCTTACAAACTAAAGAAATACTAACTGAAATGAGATTAAATCAGAAGGAAAATGGAATGAAGTCCAGTGGCATATCGTGGATTTTAGACATGGGTGATCCAACTTGCATAATTTTTTTTGAATACCGCAAATATAACTAGACGATATTCAATAGAAATATAAAATTAATCAAATGCGCATCATGATATATTAATAATGTTTTTTTCTGTCCCCCTTTTCCCAAGAGTTTTTACAGAATTTACCCTCAAAATTTGGCGCTCCAGATCTTAAAGTACTAATTATGTGCCACAATCACATTACTGGTCAAGTTCCTGGATCTGTTTGCAAGTTGAAAAACATAAAAATATTTGATTTAGCATACAATTTTCTCGAGGGAGAACTTACCAACTGTTTTAGGATGCCAAACTTATATTTCCTACAATTAAGTCACAGCAGGTTTTCAGGAGAGTTCCCATTACGCCTCCCCGCTATACGGTCATTGACTTTCCTTGATCTTGCATTTAACAATTTCCATCCCCGCAATTTCCATGGAGCATTACCAGTGTGGATTGGAGATATGGAGAGCTTGCGATATCTGCAGCTAAGTCATAACTTCTCCTACGGTGATATTCCACTCAATATCACAAATATTGATAGCCTTCAATACTTGAATAATTTAGCTGGCAACAACATATCAGGATCAATTCCTTGGCCTTTGTAAAATTTAACATCAATGACAATAAAACTTTCGGCGAGAATTGAAGTTGATCCATATGATGCTCTTACAGAAAAATATCTAACCATGGAAATTTTATCACTAGTAACTAAGCATCAAGAGCTTATGTACGGTGCAGCCGGAAGTTCTCGTGTGGTTAGCATTGATTTGTCACTCAACCATTTAACTGGTGAAATTCCATATGAAATATATAACTTCTCTTGATGGATTGATGAACTTAAATTTATCAAGGAATCACTTGGGCGGGAAAATGTTGGAATTAATGAATGGGCCTTAGCCCACTCGAAGATTAATTCTTTGGAAAATCACAAAAGCCCACCTCATGGGATGGCATGCATGTGGAGTTTAGTACCACCTTGCTTATTCTAGGAGAGGGGGACCTTATTAAAAGGGAGGATGCCCTCCTAGTCACTTGAAGCATGTGTGGTGGAGAGAAGAGGGGAAACACGCGCGCGCTCGCTCGCCTCGCCTGGCAGGGCAGGCGGCGCGCGTGCACGACGTACGCGTCGAATGGTCCGAAAAATTGGCTCCTCACCCTTGCGCAGATGCAGCCTCCTTTTGCAGTTTTGTTTTGCTGCAAATTCGGATTCGTTTTTGTTTTGGAAACGTTCCGAAAAATCCGGTGCGTGCAAACGGCGTGATCTTGAATGGGGTTATCTTAAACATTAAGCTAATTAGAGGTGAGAATGGGATTACACTCTTGCAGTCCCATTATGTGGAGAAGATCTTGAATCGTTTTGGCTACATTGATAGTAAGCCTTCTCCAACACCTTATGATCCTAGCTTGTTGCTTCGCAAGAACAAGAGAATTGCTAGGAATCAACTGGAATACTCCCAAATCATTGGCTCGTTGATGTACCTGGCTAGTGCAACTAGGCCTGATATCTCCTTTGCTGTGAGCAAGTTGAGCCGATTTACCTCTAATCCGGGAGATGATCACTGGCGTGCGCTTGAGCGAGTAATGCGCTATCTGAAAGGTACTGTGGAATTGGGGCTTCACTATACTGGGTATCCTGCGGTACTGGAGGGTTATAGTGATTCTAACTGGATCTCTGATGTGGATGAGATCAAAGTCACTAGTGGATATGTTTTCACACTGGGTGGTGGTGCTGTTTCATGGAGGTCTTGCAAACAGACCATTTTGACGAGGTCAACCATGGAAGCAGAGCTAACGGCACTGGATACTGCTACTGTTGAGGCAGAATGGCTGCGTGATCTATTAATGGATCTGCCTGTTGTTGAAAAACCGGTGCCGGCTATCCTTATGAACTGTGACAATCAAACGGTAATTGTCAAAGTGAATAGTTCTAAGGATAATATGAAATCGTCTAGACATGTGAAAAGACGATTGAAGTCTGTCAGGAAATTAAGAAACTCCGGAGTTATAACGTTGGATTACATCCAAACAGCGAGAAACCTGGCAGATCCCTTCACGAAGGGACTATCACGAAATGTGATAGACAATGCATCGAAGGAGATGGGTTTGAGACCCATATGAGTTATACTATGGTGGTAACCCAGTCTATGTGATCGGAGATCCCGTGAATTAGATCCTGGGAAGAACAAACCATTAGTAAACTAGAGGAGAGTATCAATATATATACCATCTCCAAGTGAAGATGCATGTACTCTCGTGAGCTGCAAGGCAGGTTGGCTATGCCTTAATGAGTTCTGTTGACTTTAATTAGCAAAGATGTTGTCCTGTAGAGCATTCTTGAAAGAACTCACCTTTGTGAGCTTGACTGTTGGTCGCAGTCTATGAAGATTTTGGGTGAATCTTCTAGGAAGCTTACTAAAGACCTAGGAGTATGACTTATACGCTCCACCCGAGGGGTAGTCTACAGACGGTCTAGTACCAGATAAGACTTTGAGTGAAACTTGCTTGCACAAGACTTGCAATTCAAGGCGTAGTCCATTGTTCAAGTTGTGAGTAAGTGTAGCTTGGAATTCTAGGTGGATGTTCAACCTTAATTGGTCTCCATCGAACCGCTGGTATATAAACAGTACATTGGAAAAGGCAAATCTCAGTGGGATTTTGAGATTTGGTGGGGGATTGTTGGAATTAATGAATGGGCCTTAGCCCACTCGAAGATTAATTCTTTGGAAAATCACAAAAGCCCACCTCATGGGATGGCATGCATGTGGAGTTTAGTACCACCTTGCTTATTCTAGGAGAGGGGGACCTTATTAAAAGGGAGGATGCCCTCCTAGTCACTTGAAGCATGTGTGGTGGAGAGAAGAGGGGAAACACACGCGCGCGCTCGCTCGCCTGGCCTGGCAGGGCAGGGCAGGGCAGGCGGCGCGCGTGCACGACGTACGCGTCGAATGGTCCGAAAAATTGGCTCCTCACCCTTGCGCAGATGCAGCCTCCTTTTGCAGTTTTGTTTTGCTGCAAATTCGGATTCGTTTTTGTTTTGGAAACGTTCCGAAAAATCCGGTGCGTGCAAACGGCGTGGAGTCCGGATAAGTTACGCGCGACTTATCCGGTTCGGTTACGCGCAGTAGAGATCGTGCGGGCGCCCTGATCAAGCGACCCTTCTCTATATAAACCGACCTGCCGTCTTCACGCAGCACACGCAAAAAATCAATCTAGGGTTTGCCTCCTACTCTGTACTGCGCCGTCGCTCGTAGACTACTCCATCCCGCTCGCCGGCGTGCACCAGCGATCGGGAGAGCAGGTCTCCGGAACCTCTGTCTTTGACGTCCTGCACCGGGAGAAGGCGGCAATAAGGTTTTTGGGAAGCGCTTCGCGCGACTGCTCCCTGTTCGTTCGCGACGGCTCGCCTTCCTCTTCGCTCGCGTGTTTCGTGCCTTCGTAGACACCTGCGAAAAGTTTCGACCAAGCAGCCGGTCTTTTCGTCACCTCGGTACGTGTTCAATATGTTGCGCATATTTGATCTGTTCATGTTATACTGTGTAGTTTACATGTGTAGATCTAATGATGCGTTCATGCTAGTTTTCATCTGTAATGTCATGATTTATTTATGGAATAGATTAAATCATTATATGTCTATAATCTCAACAGAAAATTCCAGATGATATCGGAGCAATGAAATCATTGCAATCACTTGACCTGTCAATGAACCGTATTTCCGGTGAAATCCCAATGAGCCTGTCAGACTTGACATTTTTAAGCTCCTTAGACTTATCGTGTCACAATCTTGTTGGAAGAATACCACAGGGACATCAACTTGACACCCTCTATCCAAACAACCCATCCATGTATGATGGGAACGGTGGTCTGTGTGGACCTCCTCTTCAAAGGAATTGTTCGGCACCAAAGCTTGGCAGTCAAAACAAAAGTGTGAACGATTCAGAGCCAACAATGTTATTTTGTTTTGGGATTGTGACAGGATTTTTGATTGGTCTCTGGGTGGTATTCTGCGCTGTAATGTTCATAAGATCATGGAGAGTTGCTTATTTCCGCCAGTTCGACAAGTTTTACGACAAAACATATGTTTTTGCTGTTGTTACTTGGGCCAGATTAAAAAGACAGGCAACTGCAAATTAAGTACTCCAGATCAAATTCTGGTTCTGCTGTAACAAATCTAAGTGGTATACTGATATAAATAAATGAAGGTGGAGAAGCATTCAGATATTTGTATGTTAATCTGTATAATTGTTTAGAGTTTTTTTTCATGTAGTTGATTTTAAAAAAAATGTTGTCTAATGGCTAATTAATTTTGAGCCAACCTCAAGTACGCATAATATAATGTACCTTGTTACATATAATGTATAATGTAATGTATCGCCAGCTCTGATGACTTTTAGTGTTTTTTCGATCGATTTCTTATGTTAATCGTTGTTAGTTTCAGAGATTCCAAGAACTGCAAGGGCGGAAGGGCCCCCTGACAAAGCGGATCCATTTCTTTGTGTCAGATTCCAAGGATCAGTATTTTCAGAGAAAGCACTCCCCCACTCACCGAAATTCTCTTGCTTTCAGAAATCCGAATCACGATTTGATTTCCTTTCACTCATCTGCTCTTAAATTCAACTCTCTAGTTTCATAATTTCATCTCAACTGTTTTTTTACTACATGGATAACAGGTTCATCTAATCCTAGAAATCGATTTTTTTTCTGTTACCCCCGAATTGACCAATTGGACTACAAAGCAGAGGAAACCAGTGTACAGTATACTGGGCAATGACGAGAGGAGGTAAGGAGGGAGCCAGGGAGGTGTCACCTTGGTTTGCTCGAGGAGGACGAGGCTGCCATGGAGAAGGGTCCCAGATTGGGAGGGAGAGGTGGGCTGGGAAGAGAGAAAATGAGAAGGAGGGCCCTGTTTGAACAGTATCCCTTATAATTTTTAGAGAATGAGTTAGGAAGGGGATTTGGATAATTTGAAAATTGAATTTGGATATTTGGACAGA